CCTGGCCCCTGGCAAGAAGCAGCCTGAGATATTCATTTCAATGCTCCACATGCCTTAGTCGCTTAGCGGATTTATTTCATGGAAAGAGTGAGGACATTGACTGTAGCCCCTGGGCCTCCAGGAAAATGTTGGTGTCTGTCTGTTTGCCTGCTTGTGCTCCGCAGTCAAGCCCTTCAGTTCCTCTGAGGGCAGCAGGATTTGCCAAGAAGCTGGGAGGACTCAGCTGGCGGAGTTTAGGTGATCCTGGTATCTTTGAAACTCCAGTTGGGATGATTTCTATTCAAAAGTCATCATGTTGTGGATAAGGAGCCTCCTGATACTAATAACGACAATAGTGAATTTTTACTGAGGACTTCGCTAAAGTCTAGGCAGGGTACAGTGCTTGCGGTCACGTTTCACAGAATGCTCCTAGTAGCCCTATTCGAGAGAGGCACCCTTCCCAACCTCCTCAGAGAGGTTGAATGTCTTGTTCAAAGGTCACACAGGGGTGGAGCTGGGCTTTGAACCCAGGCAGTCGGACTCCAGGACTACATTCCTATCACCTTGGTGAATTGCCTACCTGTCTTTATGGGGCTCTGGCAACAAAAGTGAGTGGTCCAGGGTCAGGATTATGGTGAGGCAAGTCAGGTGTTCACCTCAGGCACAGAATCTTGAGGGGGGCCAAGAAACTCAGTAATCAAGATAAATAAATAAATATTATTTAATAAATTGTAAAATATATTAAAAACATTTCATAAACATTATTTCAATGCAATATATTTAAAACTTAAGTGAATGCCCCAAAAGTCATGATGAATAAAATATCAATATTTTATTTTATTGGTTATTTATTTTGAGAGAGTGAGAGAGAGAGAGAGAGAGCAGGGGAGGGGCAGAGACAGAGGGAGAGAGAATCTCAAGCAGGCTCGGTGCCGTCAGCACAGAGCCCAATGCGGGGCTCAAGCCCAGAACCGTGAGATCAGGTCCTGAGCCAAAATCGAGAGGCAGACGCTCAACCAACTGAGCCACCCAAGTGCCCCAAAATACCAAACTTTTAAATAAAAACAGGATCTTTAGCCTCCGGTTCAGCTCAGCACCATACTGTTACTGACCCTGTCTCAGGTTTCTGGGTTGGAAAACTAGTGATGATGGGAAATTGTAGAGAAGTCATGGTTTTGCTTGTTCGGATGGGGCTAGGGAAGGGAAAGAATTTGGTTTTGAGCAGTAGAGGTGTCTGTGTGGCATCCAGGCAGCCACATCTGAGAACTGAGTCTGGTGGGAAGGGGGGGCAGGGTGGGCAGGGTACCCTATTTCACATACTTGGCCCATGATAGGTGCACATTCAGCACATGTGGTTTAAATCACTGTTCCTCAGAGTTTGCATCACGGTTCAGGAATCTTTTCAAATTCTCTCATCCAAAGTTTTTCTCCTCTTTCCTAAACCTTCTACATCACGAACCTCAGATACGTTCCCATATGGGTGTGGAAGTTTACTGCTTGGGTGTTAAAAGAAAAACATCTTCTGAGGAAATTAAAATCTAAATTCCACTAGACTTTGGGAATGGGGGGGTAAAGGGGAAAGACGAGAGTAATTATGAATTGGCTCAATCTCCTTTATTAACGGACCCTTCTGAAGGAGAATAGGAATGAAGAAAAATCAAAGAGAAGAAAGGTAGCAGTCAAGGAAAAAAGAAAGACAAAATATTATAGGAGCTAAAAATACAGTGAGGAGAGCTTGGCCAAGCATCAAAGAAGGGCAGATGTGTTTCCAAATAGGGGTGGTGGTTTTAGATATGCCAGGAAGTACAGCTCCAAATGATCGGTGGAAAATAAAGGCTATTTAGACTGGGCTCAGCAGAATAAAGGGGTTCACTGGAGGCTCAAACTGAAGACCGGGACTTTCAGCAGCAGGGAAGCCCTAATGCCTCAACTCCAGGTTCTCTGGAGCAAGTGTTGCAACCAATGATGGAAACTCTTGCCATAACTTCAGGACCCTGGACCAAATAGTCTTTCCATTTTGACTTTATAATTCTGAACACAGCCTTGGATGGAACACTCTCAATTAAAGACGAGTCACTTTCCTTACTTTATCCTCAGGTACCTGCTTTCCTTGCCATCTAATGAAGCATGAGATACTCTGGACAACTCTCACAATAGGAGGGACTGGCGGCTCCTGTAAATATACCACTCCTGTGAGGTCGAGGGATCCGACAATTTTTTTAATGTTTATTTATTTTGAGAGAGAAAAAGAGAGAGTGTGAGTGGGGAGGGTCAGAGAGAGAAGGGGAGAGAATCCCAAGCAGGCTCCATGCTGTCAGTGCAGATCCAGCCATGGGACTCAACCCCATGCACCATGAGATCATGACCTGAGCTGAAATCAAGAGTTGGACGCTTGGGGCACCTACGTGGCTCAGCCAGTTGAGTGTCTGACTTGGGCTCAGGTCATGATCTCATGATCTCATGATTCTTGGGTTTGAGCCCCACATTGGGCTCTGTGCTGACAGCTCAGAACCTGAAGCCTGCTTCAGATTCCATGTCTCCCTCTCTCTCTGCCCTTCCCCTGCTCACACTCTGTCTCTGTCTCTCTCAAAAGTAAATAAACATTACAAAAAAAAGTTAAGAGTAGGACACTTAACCGACTGAGCCACCCAGTCACCCCAAGAACCTGACAAATGTTTAGCACAGGTGGATCATGGGAAAATAAATGGCATGATATCCAAGTTGGATCAGAATCATTCCCCACTTCAGGAGGCTCATTGCTTGGCCTCATGAAAGACCCGAGATGAAGTTTCTATCAAATGTTGGGTTATGTCACTCAGACAATGGGCAACAGGGGCTCAGGAAAGGGTCAGATGAGTGAATGGGTGCCAATAATAATACCAATGAGAACATTATTTATTGAGTGCCTCCTATGAGCAAGGAGCCATACCAAGTGCTTCACACACTTTGCCCATTTCATCCTCACAGTGATCCTGAGGTAGGCATTGTTACTATCCCCATTTCACAGATGGGGAAAGTAAGGTTCAGAGATGTGAATCCACTTGCCTGTTGAGAGACGGATCTGTGATGCCAACTCGTGCAGATCAGCTCCTGAGGCCAGAGAAGGTCTCATGTCACAGATAGGACTAGAATTGGGCGCAGGGGTAGTATGTGGATGGGCTGACCAGATGAGAGGCAAAGCATCACAGTGATAGTTAGGAGTGGTTAAGAGAAAGGATTGTGTAGACCTTGGTTGAGTCCAGCCTTTGTTGGTTCCCATCATTGGGATCTGGGGCATGGTGCTTGAGCAGCTTGTGCCTCAGTTTCTTCATCTGTAAAGTAGGGATGACAAACTCATAAGACTGTTGGTAGCATTTCATGAGATCATGCTTGTGAGGTGCCTAGAACAGTGCCTGGTCTATGGCAAGCATTCAATACATACAAATTCTACTGACATAGGAGAAATAGCACAGGCTGCATTACCCTTGGTTAGTTCAAGGAGCCTGGAGGTTACCTACTGGGGAAGAGCCAATGGAAGTGAGTTACACTGAAGGGAGAGGAGGCAGAGTTTGATGGGAGTTAGAGTGTGTATCGGCTGCCGTCCATGTGAACAGCTCTGGGCCAGCAGAAGGAGATTCAGCCCGCTCCTCGGAGCCAGAGCACTGTCACTTGGCCAGTGAGCACAGGCCTAGGAAAATAAATACAGCAGATGAGTATCTGGAAAGAGGAGGTGTGGGAAGGCCAACCTCAAGACGGGGAAGAAGAGAAACAGAAGAGCTGCTCCTAGAATTCCTTTCTTGCCCAACATTCCCCTCCATCGCTGCCACGCAGAGCAAAGGCAGGCAGCAGCCCAAGAGCCTTGTGCTTCCTCCCCGGGACTCACCGGCTCTGAAAGGATGCTTGCCTGCCCAGTCTCCAGACATTCACAAACGCTTCCCAAAGACAAACCCTTGCCAACGCCCTCTCTACAACTGACCCACCTCTCGGGAGGTGAGGCCAGGGCTCACCACTGAATGGGCCCCTTTGTCCTCCCAAGCGTCTGTGGGTCCAGATGCCTTTGGCCTGGAGGTGGTTCCGCCGTGGCCTGCCGTGCGGTCTGCCTGCAGACTTTGATTCACTCCAGGGACAACACGCAGAAAAATGAAACAGGCAACACATGCGATTCCAGGAGCTCCTGCCAAGACGCATACTCTGTTTTTCCATCATTTCCCTCTCCTCCCCCTCAGGAGGGAGCCTCCTTTGGCATTGGGTGTACAAAAGCTCAAAATCGCCATCAGGATGATCACCTGATGAGGAGCGAGGCACTGCCCAAGAGTCACCAGGAAGAGGCGTCTTTGTTCCTGGTTCAAGCCCTTGACACCGCTAACAGCTCTAATTACTGAATTTGCCATGGGATGTAAAATAAAACCACATTCCAGAAACTGTGTAGTCTCCCGGGGAGAGACATGTAGGGAGAGGTGCCCAGGGCTGCAGGAACGTGTTCTTTCATTTCTGGTCCCTAACCCTGGCAGCTCTTCGGAGAATGTAACAGTACCTTCTTTATGTGTGTGGAGAAGGCCACTTTTGCACATGTAAGGATCTATCTCCCTACCTGGATCCACAAATATGGTCTGTGTATTTGACTACGTTGCGTGCAAAGCATGCTTTTTAAGAACATTAGGACCTTACTAACTCACTCAAGCCCTTCTGGGGAGGGGCGAGGAATGGGAGCTTCACAAGCTCCCGAGGCTGCAAGCACAACAAAATAGAACTTCTTCCAGCCTAATTTAACTATAAAATCTGATGATGTAACACCCACCCACATCCACATCACAAACAAAAGTGACATCACAAATACTAGAGATCATGGTTCAAAACTGCCTGCATGTGAGCCAAAATCTGAACAAACTGCAAATTGCTCATACATGACTGAGGCAGAGAAAGACAGGTGACTAGAAATATTAAAACAAAACAAAGCAAAACAACAACAACCAAAAAAAGCAAAAGAGAAAAAAGGGAAAGGAAATACATATTTCTTCCCCCTACTAAGCTAGATAAAATAAAATTTAAGGCAACCGAAACAATGGTAAGGTGATTTTATTTTCTTATCGATGACGTTTCTTAGAAGGCCAGGTCTCTTTTAAGTGTGTGCTTCTAATCGATCCAAATTGTTCTCTTGTTCTTGGCTGGTCCCAGGAGATGGAGGTCAGCGTCATTTACTTTGTGCTTTTGCCTTTATGGACCCTGGTGTTTTTTGAGCAGCCTTTCTTGGCTCATGGCGGTCGGGTTAGAAAGTACGTTTAGGGTTTGGCAGACCTTTACCTGTTGTCATTTCTGTGTTGCAGCGTGGTGGAGGGGTGACTACAGTGCCTAGAGGAAATCTTGAGTGATCTCATCTCCATTCCTTTCCTGCCACGGTCCCCTAAGCTTTCTAGTAGACAGGAATTGTCTCTGATTCCTCGTAAGTGCTCCCCAAACCTCCACTTCAAGCTTCGAGAAGGAGCATTGCTATGTTCTTGGAGAGCCTAAATATCATTGTGACCTTGTTTCTCTACTTGGTACAAAAGGCTTTGATGAGCAGGAGACCAGATGGATAGAAAGATTTCTAAGAGCTGTGTAGAAGGAATGATGTGTAAAAAGATGTTAATACTTTGCCAAAGCGGAACTTCTGGTCTCTGCTTAGGAACTGGTCTTTTTTATTCCTTTTTCTCCCCTTATAATTCTAGCATCCCATCTATGTGAGACGAGACTCCAGCATCCCCACCTATGGGCTCCGTCAGTCCATCCTACTGAACACCAGGCTTCAGGACTGCTATGTGGACTCACCGGCTCTCACCAACATCTGGGCCGCCAGAATGTGTGCAAAGCAGAACATCAGTACCCCAGCACCAGGTAGCACCTCTTCTTGGGAAGTTGTAAAGAATCCGTTAATTGCCAGTTCATTCTCCCTGATTAAGCTGGTGCTCAGGCGACAATTTAAGAATAAGTGTTGCCCAGGACCACGCAAGTTTGGAGAAGCAAAGCCCTCAAAGGGATTAAAGCCCAAGGACAATTCAGCAACAAAAGCCGCGCAGCGGGGTGGGATAAGAAACTCCATCAGTTCCAAGGGCAAACGGCCAGTGGGGCAGCGCCCAGGCTCACCGAGGCTCAGGAGGTCCACAGGAGGCGTCAACAAGGTACACGGTAGCCGGTGGTGGAGGAAATGGGGTGGAATGGGAACAGGGAAACATAAGCTAGGGAACACTTAATGCTTAAGTGATTAGTACAGAGTGAAGGAAATCCTAAGGTTAAAGGCAGGACTGTGGGGGGTGGGGGGTAGGGGTGTGGGCAGCAGCATGTTATAGTGGAGAGAGTACCAGATCTGGGCTCATGCTGTTTACCCCCTGCCTAGTTCTCTAGGAAGATGAAGTGGCTTTCATAAGCACAGGCAAAAGGATCTTGATGTGAAGGGATAAGAAGGGTAGGAAAAGCCAGGGTATGGGTAGCGCCCTTACGCACACACCCCAGAGGGGAGCCGTAGATCTTGCTGTGAACTTCCACCTGGAGAACCTGGCATCCCGGGGTCCATTACTCCGTGGGGCCAGCAGAGCTCAGAGTGCACCCTGGAGCTAAGCCGTCTGGCTTCAACTCCCAGCCCTAAGTAAAAAAAAAAAGAAAAAAAAATCCCAGCTCTAAGTATAATTGAGGCGAAGCCTGGGCTTAGCCTCTTTCTGCCTTGGTCTTCGTCATCTGTAAAATGGGGAATAATGGCCCCTCCCCCATAGGGTTTCATGAGGACTAAGCTAATACAGTGCAAAGAGTAAATGCTTAATTTCCTGCGTGGCATTCGCTAGATGACACAATGGTTGTGACCCTTCGAACTGTGTGGCCTTGGGCAAACCAATTCCAGTTTCCTTGCCTTTCAAACCGTCTCCTGCTGCCCTTACAGGGTTATGGGGGACCGCATGCAGCGGCATACATGAAGGAATTCAGTAAACTAGAACACACTAGACAAATGTTGGTTGTGGCTGTAACCAAGACTCTGGGACACAAATCCCAGATAATTATTCTGAGCTCCCTTCTCAAGTTTTAGCTTTGACTTCTCTGCTTTCTTCCTGGCTAGAGTAAAGAAAGTTCAAAGGAGAAAAAAGTAACAGTCCGCCAAGATCTTGAGAACAGATATGCCAAACATGTGGCTGCCACCCAAGCATTAACCCGGAACATTGGGACAGCGGCCTGGAAGGGCCAAGCGCTGCTTCCTGAACCCAGAGAGAGACAGCAGTTGTCCGAGGACAAACTGACCATCCACGGCCTCCCCACAGAGGGTTACAGGGCTCTGTACCACTCTGTGGTTGAGCCGATGCTGTGGAATCCTTCCGGGACCCCCAAGAGGTACAGCTTGGAGCTGGGCAAGGCCATCAAACAAAAGCTCTGGGAGGCTCTGTACAGCCAGGCCGCCAGTCCCGGAGGTGCTCAGGACTCAGTGCCCGGCAGGGAGGAGCCTGTGCCCAAGAAATGGCCCAAGTTAAAGAGAGAGAAATAGGAACAGGGGCTCATGGGCTTAGGATATTCTCTGCTAGAGGTCTGAAAAATAAACACCACTTTGCACCTTCCACATAATCTCAGAGTGCTTTACAAATTAGTACTCCCTCCCTGGGACGCAAGACCCGTGGGTATGAGATTCATTCATTCGAGGAAATGAATCTCCTACTGACGGCGCCTCTCGGCTCTCGTGGTGAGGTCACCCGAGGGCTACATGCGTGGTGTCTTTTCCCTACAAGCCCCCTTTCCTTAACAGGGGTTTGCGGGCTCTCTCGGTCTTCCAGGCAGGGGAAGTCAATGGTTTATATCCAGCCCATGTTCCTTATTTTTGAAAGTGGGCTACCGTTTCCCTCGCTCCCTCCATATAGCGCAGAGCAGAAAAACTACCACCACCTCAAGGACATAATCCCATACACTCTCTATCAGATGCTCTCCTGACACCACCCCAGTGCCCAACAGCCTGAAGTTAAAGGCACGGCTCCATGTAAACTCCTCCTTGGTGGAATCTGCAGCCTTTACCCAACAGAGCAATGACCACATGTAACACGTACTTGATAAAATTGTATTTTTTTTTTACAGTCATTTGTACAATTTGTTACAAAACCATAGAAGACTACAACTTGTTTTAAATCATTTTTGGTCGGCAAATATGTAAAATCTGTGTGCAATTATCATGTATTTACAGGGCCTCATGTTAGTCATTTTCAATGATTATTCCAACAATGTCACACTCTCAACATAAGACATGGCTTAAGATAAATATATTAGTAAATAAATATTCTGAGAACATATTTCCATAAATGAAATGTGCTGCTATACATATACAGAATATACATAAGTTGTTTTCTAGCCTTTAAAACATTAAAAAAATGGTAATGTTGGAGAAGGAGCCCTTAGACCATTTTATTACAAAATCTTTACAGCAAAGTCTTTACAAAATATCTTTTAAGTGCTATGGGAGAAGTTAAAAAACACATTTTAAAATAGTGTCTTGTTAGACCAACACAATAGAGTTTATATAAAGAGTAGAAAAAGGCAGGTCTGTTTAAAAAATAATACTCTTGATTAGTAATTATTTTTTAGACCTTATTTTAAAAGCATTAGTCATGCATGAGCTTTGAGTAGAAACTAGCAGCACGTAAGGGAGGAGGGTCTGAGCGGTGGGACAGCAGATCGGGCTTTATAAAATGGCTTGGGTTCAAGAGAGGCGGGAGAGACTGAGTCAGAGCCGGCATACTGAGGCTGTGTCCTATTACAAAGAGGTACCTTGTTGATCAGAAGACCATTTTTAACTGGTTCCAGCACTCTTCAGTTTACATGGCTGTCCCATACCCAGCGCTGGGCCAGGGGACCAGGCCTAACAGTCACACTTCGGCTTGGCTGGGCTGGGGGGGGAGGGGTTCTCAATGGAAAATGTGATGCTCCCAGTTTCCAAGGCTATGTGACCCCCAACACGCCACTGAGAGGCCACCGACAAAGGTACTTGTCATTATTATTGGAACCTTACAACTTCGAAGACGACATTCCTTTGAATTTGAACGCCTAGGCAATATGGTTGGGTTACTACTACATTCTGGGGACGTCCTTGTCTGGTGGGCCAACACAAATTTAAGACAATGGCTGATATTTGAAGTTTCAAAATTTCATTCTCCTGCTTCTACCACCCTGTAAACTAGAACAATCAAATGTTTTCTTTTTGCCATCTGTAATTATTGCTCTTTCAAATGAAAATTGGACACATTTATGTTAAAGCCCCCTTGAAGCCACATTAGCTACTCAATCTATTTATTGCTTAAGGCTGTTGAGTAGTTTTCCAGGCAGGGCTAAAGAAAGCCACTTTGGGGGTATGGTTTCAGACAAAGAGTATGCACTCAAAGGCATTAAAAACAAAACAAAACAAAAAAACAAAACCACAAACAACAAGAAAATCTCAGCAATTGAGAAGCTGGTTTCTGCAATCCACGTTAGAAGCCATGCCCCCCACCCCTTCCCTAAAACCGCGTAACGCAAGCTGTGTCCTGGCAGCTGCTACTCCTGGCCCGGATCACATGTCAACAGCTTAGGCGCTTCCCACACCCTCGCCAACAGGTGTGCTGGGCACCAGCCCGGGGTGGGGGGGTGGGGGGGAGCAGCCCCCAAGGGATTCTACCTCAGGAGCTGAAGGACACATCTCATCGTGGTGAGTTCCTAAATGGCAAATGGCTCAATCAGTCGCTGTTGGAATTTCTGTCAAAATCTGGCTACAAATTTCCTAGGTAAATTTCCTCATCACGGGCTAAGTTGAAAAGAAAAAAAAAAAAAAAGGATTGGGATACAGTGAGATTCTCAGTCAGAACGTTCTCATCTGGACTTTGGGCTGACTTCCCGAGTCAGCCTTGCATCGCCAAGGATGGCAGCCCAGGCCAGCCTCTATGTCCCCACTCTGGGGGAGAGGCTGGGCTGTGAGGTTCCTATTCCACAACTGAGCATTTCAGATGACAATAAATGAATAAAAGTGACCAGAGGAGTTAGCGAACACAAGGGCTAATGTGATTAGTTTCTTCTAAAAAAAAAACCACACACACTTTCTTAAGAAGTACATTGGACAAAAAGGAGGACGATCCCTGATCTGAAGTAGCTTTAAATAGATTCTCCCTTTTAAAACTGGAAACATCTTTAAAAAAAAAAAAAATGGTTTGGGTTTTAAAACTCTCCCTTCCTCTTACAAACAAGAACAGCAAAGGCTGGAGAAATATACATAGACCTACCCTTTGGGTCTAAACTATCTGATAGTCTCTTTCTCTGTCTCATGGAGGATCAATACATAATAGTGCATTAGGTCGAAAGGATAGTAGACATTTGCAGGCGAGATGAGCAATTTCAGCCGTGAGGCAGAGGGCTGAATGACCCTGAAGCGAGCTTCCAGAGGGAAACGGGATGGGAAACGTCATTCAAACGGAGCTCGGAGCTCGGTGCTGACCCTGTGGGTTCCCCAGGAAGGCAGCCCAAGGATGCTGGTTGTGCCTACGCAGGCATGCTCCAGTGCCCTGTGTCCCTTCCCCAGGACACTCTCCACCCCCCAGACACTAAGGCTGCAAAAACTATATTCCTCCCCGGTGTTTGTCCCCACCATCTCTGCAGCCAGTGGCAGGAAGCCCAAGTTCGGGATTGTGAACTCTGTCCTTTTACCTAAGACGCTGACCTCAGGGGATAGACTGAGGACACTGGGCTGAATTGTCCCTGTCACCCTGGGGCTTTGCGTAGCAATGGCTTGTCCCAGCTCCTCAGTGCTGCAGACCTTCCGCCCTGTTCCTAGCTCTTTCCATCAGCTGCCTAAAGGTGTGGGCTGGAGAGGCATGGCTTCTGAGAAGACCCGGAACTTTGCACGTTGGGATTTGCCACAAGAAAGAAAGAGGCAGCAGTGATTGCATTGTTCCTCAGAGTTTGTACCCATATCAACTAGCTTTACTTCAAGTTTCTGGTTCATTTTCTAAGGCAGGTGTAGCCCTGAGCTTTTCAAAGGCCTGAGCCCCCTCCGGGGAGACAACAGTATCTACACATGATGTGGTTCAATCAATGCAGCAGTGATTTTTTTTTCAGCAAAAGTTGGTGGTTAGGGTTCTTTAAAATATATATTTAAATAACTTTACATTTACATATAATATCTTAAAAAACAAAGCAGAGAACTCAATCCCACACACCTCAGAACCCCAAGCACACACACTTTACAAAACAGAATACCGTGTTATCAAAAGAGGCAAAGACTCAGAGAATTTTGTCTGTTGGTTTGTTAATGGGGGGTGGGGGTGGGGGCGATTTGCCACAGGTGGCTCACATTTTGGGTTGAGAAGGAGGGCTCTCTTTATTACCACTTTCGTGTGTTTGTCAAAGCTAAAAAAAAAATCTTTTTTTTTTCTTTTTTTTTTTTTTTCCAAAGGAAGTCAGAGCTCAGAGTCTCCACATAGTCCCCATTTCCACATAAGAGTTCCTTCCGAGCTCAGGCTGCCGGGCCGCCATCTGCTGGGCGAGATCTCTGTCCTGGGAGAGAGAGAGAGAAAAATCATCATGGGCCGGAAGAGGCCCTGGAGGCCCTGGGCACACACACAGGGGCCAGACAAGGGACGTGGGTGCCCATGCCCAGCATGGGACAGGTTCTCAGGAAGGGACAGCTCCCAACACTGGACAGACCGTGTTATACAGCAAAGGGCCGAAGCCGAGCTCCTTTGCTGAGAGGCCCTCATGCTGTCGGGGACACAGGCACCTCCTAGACAGTCAGCCTCCCTCATCTGGAGGTGCAGACACTTCCGGAAGCCCTTAGGTAGCATGGGCAACACCACATCCGGCACTGTTGCAGGCACTGGGAAGAACAGAGGAGACCTCTCCACGAAGCCTACAGGCCTCAGAACCAAGTAACCTCAGACTGTGATGGGCTGGGAAGTAAGCAGAGGGTATGAGAGTGCCCTTGCAGGAGGCTGGAGGGTGTGATTTCAGCTGCGACCTGGAGAAGCAGCAGACAAGTTTGGAGGCGGGGATGAACAGAGGCCACAGAAGGCTGGAGTAGCCAGGAGGTGAGCGAAGCAGGAGGTGGTCAAGAGGCACGGACAGGGACAGATCAGACAGAATCGGGTGGGGAGTTTACATGTTTTAAATTTAAAGGTAGTGGCGAGTCACTGAAGGGTTTTCTGGCGTAAAGATGCATATTTTAAAAAAGACCACTGTGGTTCCCATGCAGAACAGAAGGCAAGACCAGCAGGAGACCAGCCAGAAGGCCACGGCCTTGACCACAGGGAGAGGAAATGGGCCTCCGTGAGGAGACAGCAGGTGTGGGCTGCAGAAGAGATAAATTAGGGAGACACTCTGGCAGTGGAACGTGTCCTGTCGTGTCACAGTACTATCGAAGGTGCCAGACTGTTTATTACGGATGTAATAAACAAGACATTTCGGAACTCTAGGGCAACTGGATGTCATCTGCTGAGTTGAATGAAAATTCTGCACTTGGATTCCGCATGTCTTCTGTGAAGTTTCATTTTTCTGGGAATTTGATTTTCTGGACAGGGGCAAAAAACAAGCCCACGCGGTCCTTGCAGGCAGGTTGAGAAGCCCAGGACACTGGAGTGTGGAGGGTGGGGTGGGCTCAGGGACAGTGTCAGGCTTTCGGCCTGAGCATCTGTGTGGGGAGCAGGGGAGAGGTGGGGCGGGGCATGCAGAGGTAGGAATTTGAGAGCACTGCGGTGGACACGGCAGGGTGGGATGGTGAGGGAAGAGGCCTAATGGGTCTGGAATGCAGAAAGAAGGGCTGGGGTGGAGAATAGCTCTGGAAGTCATCAGGTGCACACAGGGTTTAAAGTCAAGGGCACAAAGAAAGTCACCTAGAAAACAACCTGGAGAAAGAGGTCCCTGACTCTGGCCTACTGTCCTCTCCTGTTCTCACCTGCAGCCTCAGCGGCTGTGGCGCTGGACTCCTGAGTGTCCTGAGGGGCACCAGGGAAGCTGGCCCTGGTGGCCTCTGCCCCCTCCAGAGGGCAGCCGGGCGAGAGCGGTGCCCTGGCCTGGCAGCAGAGAACTGGCTCTTCTTCCTGGGCTGCTCCCAGGCCTCTGCGGGGCCGCAGGGCATCCGGGCCCAGGGTCCCACCCCAGGGGCTGAGGCCACGGGTCCCTTGGCAGTCTGAGGGCAGGCCCAAGTCACAGTCTACATCCTCCGGAATGATGGGGATGCGCTGGCTCAGGTCCCGGGCCCCTGGGTGGCAGCTGGGCGGGGGCTCCTGAGCGAGCGTGTACTGCACGCTCACTGAGCAGTCCTCAGTGTAGCAGCCGCTGCCCCCTCCGCCACCATGGGCCACCTGCTTCTCTTCATAGAAGCAGCAGGGCAGGCCCTCATATTTCACCCCATCTGTCCTGGCCAAATGGTCTGGGTGAAGACCGTACAGGCCCTGGGAGCTTCCCGGCTGTGACTCCCCACCTGTGGGGCCACAGGCCTCACAGGGTGGGGGGCCTAGGAGCAGCGTGCCACTCCCGGCCACCCCTGCACCAGGCTCCAGCGAGGAGGGCTGGGGCTCGCAGCAGCAGACACACGACAGCCCCTCGCGGCCCCCCTTCCAGGTCCTCCTGAGGTCTGGGGCAGCCCCGGTAGAAGCCTCGAGCCCCACTTCTGAGGTAGAGCTGGGGGGCCCCCTGTGCTCCAGGGAGGAGTTGCTGCTGTAGTTCATCTCCAGGCTGCAGGTGGACAGCTGGTCCCCCGAGGGAGAGGCTGGGCCGGGCCAAGGCCCTCCCCGCCCCGCACCTTGACCATGGGCTGCTGGGAGCTCCTCTGGGGGTGGGGAGCCCTCAAGGCACACGACAGGCCCCCGGCCTGAGCCGCCAGAGCCCCCCACATCACTGGTGCGACAGGGACTCCGGCTGCGGTAGATGAAGGGGTCATAGTCGCTGCTGAGGGAGCTGCGGAAGGTCGAGCAGCTCCCGTACACGCCCTGGTTGCTGACCTCGGTGCAGTCCACCACGGAGTCGCTGGACGAGCAGTGGCACTGGCCAGAGCTGCTGCTGCTGCTGCTGCTGTCGCTGCCCGGGCAGTCGGCCAGGTAGCCGCTGCACACTGAGCGGTGGCCGTGGTAGCAGCTGAAGCTGGACGTGCTGCCGCTCTCCAGGTGGGAGGGCGGGGCCATGTGCACCACGGTGGGGAACAGCAGGCCACCGCTGCCGCTGCTCGGGGGGAAGGCGCGGGCCGGGCCCCGAGGAGAGAGGCCCGGGGGGGCCTGGCCCTCCTGCTCCGGGTAGCTGAGGCCCTGGAAGTAGTAGTGTTGGTACATGGTCTCATACTGGGAGAAGCAAGCTGCCTTGGAGAAGCTTCGGCCGCTGAACTTGGGCCTGCGGAAGGGGTGAGCTGGTGAGTAGGCCCGGTGCTCCAGGCCGCAGCGGTGAGGGGCCAGGGCGTGGTCCAGGTGCAGGGGTGGGTAGCCACGGATGTAGGTGGGGGTCTGCGGGGAATAGAGGCTCTGCTCCCCGTGCCGGTCCACGGTCAGCAGCGTGACGGGGTTCCCGTGGGAGTCCATGCTTGTCCTGGTAGGGTAGGCCGGGATGGCATTGGTCCTGTGCACGCGGCCGGGGTAGTGCACCGGCAGGATCACCCTCTGCTGCCGGCTGCGCGCAAGGTTGCTGGTCTCCACACACACAGTGTTTGGGTTTCCCTTTTGTTCTGGGGGGAGGAGGAGGAAACAAAGTCAGCAGAGCTGAGCACACGGGGCTCGAGGGGTAAACGAGGGCAGGGGCTGAAGCAGGAGAGGCCCGGTCACGTGCCAGGGCAACCTGTCTCATGACGATGGCCCCTTCTAGGCCATCAGCGCACCCAGGACTCTGGCAGAGGCCGACCCAGCTGTCTGTTTGAAGGGTGGGTCTTGCCGATAAGGGCCTACGTCCCCCCTCCCCGCGGTCCTGCCTGACAAAGACACCGGGGCGTTTGCAGAGGGCAGCACAGGTACCAAGTTAAGGCACTTTCTGTCTTGGAGAAACAGCTCCCTGGAGTCCACCCGGCATTCCGCGCCCCTCATCCAGTACCACAGTGGCGCAGGAGCAAACTGCGACCCCGCCACCTCACACTCATCGCCTGTGGCGTGGGAACATCCCCCCACGCGGGAACAACGTGGCCATGGGCACGTCATCACTGTCATTTCTGCTAAGGACATTGTGGGCCTAAGGCCCGGAGAGGCCAGATGCCTTGCTCAAGGTCAGGAGGCTGGTTCACGTGCAGAGGCCAAAACAGGACCTCAGGGCAATTCTCCACACCTGGCTCTCCTAAGGGCTTGGAGGGCCAGTGCACTCCGAAACCCAAGGTCCCCACACCTCCAGGCCCTGGAGGCAATGCTCGCTCACCAGTCTGCAGTATGGTCACATTCTTGCTAGGCACTTGTTAGGGACAGTGACTCTTCAGCAATGGGGGGGAAGTGGCAGGTGACAATTACCTATGATGTTATGCCGACAGTGGGGGCAGGTGTGGTGCTGCAGCAGCCACGGGTCCACGCACTTCCGGTGAAAGCGGTGAGTACAGGGGATAACCCGCAGCTCCTGGGGAGGGAGAGGGGACACACAGACTGAAGGCAGGGCGCAGGCGGAGGGCAAAACGCTTCTTCCTGAGGAGTCCGGCATGGGCCACGGAGCCCTGTTCGCCAGGCCAGTGCCAGAGGCTTCCTCCTCACCACCCCACCGCCCCCATCTCTAGCTACAGGCAGACTCACTGCCCTGGAGTCCGCACCCACGTCTGCGTTCTAGGAAGCCCCGACCACGGTCCTCGATGCTAAGGGAGGAAGCACATAGAAGCAGGCTCCTTTCTTGTTGCCTGAGGAAGGCACTCACATTCATGCTGCCCGTGAGGGGAGACCAAAGCCGAGAGCTTCTGCAGCCCGTGGGTGTGGGGAGAGGGCTAAGCTAGTCCCCGAGACTTTTGCATCTCTGGGATGGTGGCTCCCTCCAGGTACACCAACTGGGTATGAGTAGAAAGGAAGGTGCCCCGGACTTGTAATTGACAAGTGGAACAGCCAAGGCGCAAAGCTCTTCTGTCCCCTCCTTTGCTGGGCCCTGAACACTCACCCGAGGGTACATGGTTTTATAACAAAGCACCCTCCGTGAGAGGAGGTGATGGGGTTTTCTGAGGCAGGACCACCACTGGCATTCCTGAGCCAAAGCACCCTGCAAATCTGCTACCATGATTTTGTTTTTCCATTCTCTGACCGGCTCAACACAATAATATTCAAGCTAGCACCTAACTTTGTGCCTGACCTTGGTAAGAGTTCGACCTGCATTTTCTCGTGTAACCTTTGTGATCACCTTGACCGCATGTCCGGCTCAGGCTCATGTCTCGAGCACAGTGCAGAGAATGAATTCTCTGGCCCGAGGTCACAAAGCTAGAACTTACCCTGGGTCAGGATTAGAATGCAGGCAGTCTGCATCTAAAGACCATTCAAGGTTCTCTTAATCTCAAGGCCTCTGTGAAAACTCATTTTTTAATCCAATAGTCTACCTGGGAGCAGAACGCTTTTGTTAAAGGGGCATCAAATGTCTGGAACTGATTCTGAAGTGGTTTGCCTCCCGCCCCTCAAAATGTGTGTGTCTGTGTGCCTCTGTCTGGAGAGAGATTAAGCCAACGTGGCACAGTGTTAACAAAGGGTTATTCGAGGTGAATGACGTACCACTCACTGAAGGACTCCAGCAGCTTTCCTGAAAGTCTGACACTTTCAGGATAAAAAGCTAGAAGAAAAAAGGTAGCCATCACACCCCCTGTCTCCTAAGTAAAAACACCCAGCATTCCACCGGGCTTTGCAGGAGACGTTTGCTTCAAGTCATGTCTCTGTTTCCAGAAGAGCAATTCTAAAATTAAGTCCGTGCGTGTAAGGGACGCCTGGGTGACTCAGGCGGTTAAGTGTCTGACTCTTGATTTCGGCTCAGGTCACAATCTCACGGTTTATGAGATGGAGCCTCATGTCGGGCTCTGTGCTGGCAGTCCAGAGCCTGCTTGGGATTCTCTCTCTCCCTCTCCCCTCTCTCTGCCCCGCCCCTGCTCATATGTGCTTGCTCTCTCAAAATTAAAAAAAAAAAAGGAAAAAAATTAAAAAATAAAATAAAACTATGTCAATACGTGTAAATGTTCTCAACACCAGACATTGTCTGGCCTAGCATATATTTCTGATCGACTTCTGAAGTCACGTGGGTAGAAGCTGGGTCCTCCTCCAGGGGAGAAGAGCGGTTAGACAATCTCAGGCCACCCCCTTGAGACTAGGCGTTTAAACCCTTCTGCCCCTACAAAGCTGTGGGAAAAGGACACGGGGCTCTGTCCTTTCGGGTCCCACGCACCTCTGCTCACCTGTCCACCCCGCCCCCGCCCAGCATGTGTCCCGCCTCTGCTGTTACCTCTCCATCGATGTACTTCTCCAGGCAGATGGCACAGTCGGACGTGGAGCTGCTGCTGAGCGTGTCCAGGGCCCCACAGCTGCCCTCCCGGCGCCCCTTGTTCTTGGAGTTGAACTTTCTGGTTTCCATCTTCTCCAGAGCCTGTACGGCCAGCCTGTTCATGGAATTCTGTGTGGCAGAATGTGGTCTGTGTTAGGGTCAGGGACGGACTGCAGTGGTAGTCGCCCCGAGGGCCGTGGCGTCTCATGCATGCGGACAGGTGTAACACTAGTCCTCTCTTAGACCAGAAGAGGCTTTCGAGAAAACACTAAAAATTCAGACGGCTGCAGCACAGACCTTCTGGACCCCTGAGTGTTAACGGCTTGAACGCAGGCTTCACCTAAGTGGCAGTATGAGCAGAAGCATTCACTTCCATCGGTTGGCCAAGTCTGCAAGACCCTGAGTTATTAACCTGCTCTGTGCCCAGGATTCCTTCTCTTTACACTGAAGAGAGTCCTAAGGACAAATGAGACAAGGCGCGTGGGTGCTCACCAAACCCAGCCACTTCTGGCCGCCCAACTTTGTGAGGAGTCGGTGATCCTCTCGACAGACTGCCCACCAATATCCACCGTCCCTCTCCTGAGCTGTCACAGTACACACGGGACAGTCGAGATTGTTGCTTACCCCGTCTGTCAACCTCTGGCCCCACATCCTGCCTTTCTACGAGCACAGCGATGTGCTAGCTGGGGCAAGAACGGCTATTCTGTTTACTGAGAATTGTCTAGAGAGAGCTTGGAAGATGCAGATCTGGATTCAGCAGGTCTGGGGTGTGGCCCGAGAACCTGCATTTCTACCAAGCTCCCAGATGACGTGGACCCTACTGGGCCCCAGATCATATCTGAGGAGCAAGGCTCCAGGGCTCTGCGTTAACGTTTAGAAATTTCTTGAGAAAAACTCCTAACTGGAAGCGTTCCCAAGGCTCGGCCCTCTGGGAACAAAGACACAGGGTGATAAGCTTCGCTCTCGTTTCTCTCTGTCTTTGCTGCGCATGGGTTACTGGGATCCGGCTGCACAGCCCAGCCCCCCACTCCTGGTTTTTACTAGTGACAGGGCGTAGGGGATCTGCACCGGCCGGCTGCTTGGAGGTGTTACCTGACTGCGCCGCTGCTTCAGCTTGATTTTGACAAGGAGGATGAGGCAGACCAAGGAGACCACGACAAAGAACGCCAAGAAAATCCCCATGTCGAAGTACTCGGTGGGTTGCTGGAACAGAACACAAGACACGATGAGTCACGGGTCTCTTCAGCCGGGGGACGGGCACGTGGCCTGTGTCAGCGCTGGTTGGAGGAAGGAGGGGGTCAACTCGGGTGCGCTTCCCCTCATTTGCAGGAGACACCCGGGGTGTGTGCGAGGCTAACCTGCACACACATGGGGTGTTCTCCACTTGGGCGCTACCCCGTGGTGTGGCTAGCGGGAGGCCTGGAGCCATCTTGGCCAGGCCTCCTCACAGCCGAGAGGACTCCCATCATAAAGCCTCGCTCCCCAAGGAATAGCGCAAAGTTCACTGTAACCGGTAGGAGAGGCCCAGCCAAATAAACATGAATATCATATTTATGGGACAAAGGAGTGAGTGTCATGTTTTGAGGGAACAGTGATTACTAACCATATAATTAATGGTTTACGACAACTCAGAAAATTGTATGCTGCTTCTACAAATATCGGCTTCCACTACAATGAGTCACATTTACCAAAGTGCTCTTTTCTCCTTTAAAAAGAAGCCGGCAAAGGCAGTGCTTTGCAAATTCCCTACACTCTTGAGTTCTTATCTTTTCCTCGTGGCACACTGCCTCGTCAAGCCTTGAAGCCACCTCACCTAGGACATGCATTTTAGCTAACAGGAGGAGGGTATACTAATTGAATGCTGGGGGTATCTAGTTTGTGCATATGTATGAATCCTCCTATATGTGAGTATTCCAATTTTTGTGATAAGGAAATAAATCCTATAGGAGGTGCCTATCCCAGGTTCCTAGAATCTTCAGTCTGAGGTTTGGGCAAAAGATACCAGTAAAGGGCTACTGGCCAGCAGTGGCCCTTTGACACACTCAAGAGAAGCCTAAATGCTATTCAGTGACCACCTAGAAGTCATGAACTTTAATCCCACTTGAAAGCTAGGTGTGCCAGAATCATATAAGTGGGGGGTTTTCAGGGCGCCTGGGTGGCTCAGTCGGTTGAGTGTCTGTCTGACTCTTGACATCAGCTCAGGTCATGATCTCAAGGCTGTGAGATTGAGCCCTACGTCGGGATCCACACTGAGCATGGAGCCTGCACGAGATTCTCTCTCTCTCCCTCTCTGTGCCCCTCCCTCACGCACACACACATGTGTGCTCTGCCTCTCTCACAAAATAAACTAAAAAAAAATAAAAGGTTTTCAACAGTGCAATTTATTCTCTGGGAAGAATGAAGTATAGGCCTTTTTCTATAGTCTGGGTCAAAAGGAAGGAAGGAAGGGGGGACAAGGGAAGCTGAGTGCTGGGTATTCCTTCCTTCCTTCAATCCTCAGCCTTTCAGAGGGGGACGGGAGGGAAGCGAAAGAAGGACAGGACGCTACCAAGAGGGAGCGCTGGGTAGAAGAGACCAGAGACACCTTAGCACAAATCATCTACTTCTGGAAGGTCTTTTCAATTCCTGTGTAAAGGAACTCGAGGGCTGACATTTCTCCTCGGCCCCCGGACTTCTACCTCATCTAAACTGCAGGAACGTAGGCTGTGTCAGCATGTTAGACAGAAAGAAGATTGGAGAAAAAAAGCCTAAAGGGAATAAAGGCACAGGGAGCAGCAGAGAGGCTGCCAGGCTCACTCGAGGTGGGCGGTGCTGAATTCTTGCTCGAGCTACTTTCTGCTTGTTGACGATGTTCATCAGCTTGATGGCGTCTGCACCCTTCACGTACACCACCGGCCTCTTCAGTGGGTCTTCTGAGCCCTGGTTTAGCTGAGGATGAAAAGACCATGCTGCTTAAAGGATGTGTTTACTTTGAGGAGGAGAGAGAACGAGGCTGAAGGAAAAGAACGGCAGATACCATTTGAAAATCCCCCAGGTCCTCAAGCATGACAGCCTTGGAGCTTCTGGAAGGGCGAGACTGGGAGCAATGCTCGTTTTAGAACAGCCTGGGCAGGCTGAAGGCCCCGAAGGGTCTGTGAAAATGCCCTCCCCGTCCTCCCCCGCCGTCCCCAACCACCAACCCCCTGCTCTTCACTCCTCTCAATACCCTTGCCTCAGAGTCAGAATGATGCCTAGACAGGGGTCTCTATGGTGAGCGGGCAAGTGTGAAGCCCTGAGATGAGGGCGCCGGCCCAGTGACACACCGAGCTGGTGAAGGAAGCACTTCTCTCAGGGCGGGGGCTGCGATGCGTGGCCTGAGGAGTTTACCTGGTCAATAGCTTCTGGGTTTTCCGATACATCAAAGATGACGGCAGTGGCTCCCCGCTGCACTGCCCGCTTGGCCTGGCAGGGGAAAAAAAGAACAGGTTGGCAGCCTTGCCCCTCTGACCTTTCCAAAGCTGGTCTGGGAAATCAGACCTGTGTTCGAATGCAGAATCTGACAGTTACTTCTCTGACTCTGGGCAAGTTGCTAATAACTTCCCCAAACCTCAACTTTCCCATCTATTAAAAAAAAAAGGTTGTACGGCTGCCTCTGGAGAACCAGATGAGTTAGCATAGGTAGAAAGAAATAACCGGGTACTGAATTAACCTTTGTCTCCCTGTCCAGCCAAACATTAAAAACAAATCAACAACCTGCCCCGTCAGCATGAAGGTATTGGTTTCAGGATCTTCTGCTGTGAACACACAGCCGCTGGCAACCAAAGTAAATGCCTCTGGTCCTTTTCTCCTGTGGTCCTGCCTCGTTCCTGTGTCACCCACGGCTGCTGTGAGACCGGCACATGGGATATTTCCAAGGGGATCTCAAAATGGTCAATTTTAATAACTGACATAAGCTGAAGACCTCTGGAGATGCTGTCAGAGGGAAAAGCTCCGAGAAAAAATCGTAAATGGGGATTTAGAGCAGTTGGCTGCCAAACCTGGCTGCACATCAAAAACCACTTGGGAAGTTTGTAAAGCAGATTTCCTGGCTCAAACCACAGAGACTGATTCAGCAGGGCTGGAGTAAGGCCCAGGAAACTGAGTTCTGGAAGTTTTCTGAGGGATTCAGATGATTCAACCACTTGGGGAACTAAGGATCAGAGAGAAAGAAGATGAGAATGTTTCAGGAACAAATGTGAAGTGGAATTATTTTCTTAGATTATTATACTTGTTATTATCACTTTGAGAGAGACAGAAGAGAGAGCAAGCTGGGGAGGGTCAGAGAGAGAGAGAGAGAGGGAGAGAGAAATCCCAAGCAGGCTCTGAGCTGTCAGCGCAGAGTCCGGTACAGGGCTCAGACTCACGAACTGTGAGATCATGACCTGAGCCAAAACCAAGGGTCAAACGCTTAACCGACTGAGCCACCCAGGAGACCCTGGTGGGATTCTTTTTTGAGGGAAAGGATTCTTTTCTAGCCCAACGAACCTTCTGATTTCATGTCTGGCTAAGTGGACAACAGGGTAAAAGCAGTGGAAGAACAAGACAGAAGACATAACCCTTGCTTTTCGGATCCTGAATCTTGTTAGAGACGTAAGATCCTCTCATGTGGGGGAAAAACAAGCAAAAAACAAAATAAAACCCCAAGCCTCCTATAAGATGGGCAAATAATGGCTGGTGTTCAGAGATCAATAAAGTCTCTATGAGCCAGAGTGCTTGAGAAAGAATACAATTTGACTGGAAGGAATTCCTGTCGAGGGAAGAGCCACTACCCGGATGTGTGAGAAGGCAGCACTGACCCTGCAGAGCCCAGTACGTGGCTGGACCAATGGCTTCACAAGCCCACTAGAGGGCAGTCTTATCCCACAGCTTTTATGAGACAATTCCCTGTACTGTGTCCCACAGAAGCGGGACTGTGAACTCCTTGCGGATCTTGCAAAGTTCCCCACAACTTAACCAGCCCGGGCACCCTGGCTGCTGTGCTGTGGAGCTGTCCTTCTTCCCCTGGGGCCTCTTCCTTGTTGAACTGAGACGCCATGTAGCTCAAGTCCCCTCTACCTCCTGTCCCACCCCTGTTGCCTCACCAGCAGGCTGTCGTCGGGAGTGGCTCTTGGGAGCTTTCCCAGCTCTGCCACTGAGAAGCTGCCAGTGGTGGGCAAGTCACTGAATGTCTCTCAGTCTCTGTTTCCCCACCTGTAAGAGGAGGAGGAAGTCTATGTTATGATGACTAGGGTCCCTTCCAGTTCCCAATCTTGGCCACTCAGCTGAGAGGCAGGGGACTGTCCCGAGCAATGAAGAAAGGGCTACAGTGGCCCTACTGCCCAGCTGCAGAGAGAGGACATGATGGCACAGTGAGAAAGTTTGCGGCCACGAGGCGTCACTTCCCTTCAAAAGACTTTTTAGGGGCACAGACTCCCTGGGCTGTGGCCAACAGAGTTAACAGTAAGTAGGCGCTGCGTCTTCTACTCAGGTGATACCCTCATCTTCACAAATTCTTCCCTGGACGTGGAAGGACCCCAAGGAACAACACCGAAAACAAGGTAATCAACGGGACCTCTCGTTCCTTTATTTGGCTTTCATTCCACCAGCAAGCACATCAACCAGCACCAGAGGGAACCGTGCATTCAGATCTGTTCTGATCAGGAGCGCCCGGCACCTCCCACTTTGATGCTGGCGCACCTGCAGAGTCTGATGGCAGCCCATGAAAGGCTGTGGGACCCGGGGTAGCGCAGAGCTCCAGCCACATGGCTGCTCATGCTTCCAGACCTCCCTGCTCCCCAGGAACGTGGAAGCCTTAAGGATCTGGAGGTGAGGCATGACCCACTTGGGACAGGCACTTTTTAAAAAGGCATTTTCAACAAAATCTAGGAGGTTTGAAGGGTCTCCTGGTTTGTATAGTAAAAACAGCAGGTCAAGAATGAGGTGCTTAAATCCCATTTAATGGATCCATTTCACTGACTCTGACACAACCAAGTTAATACATGGGATTCAAGTACAAACTTTTTTTGAGAAAATGATGATTCTCACAGCTGACTTACTTTAAAAATTAATGGAATCTGCTATTTAAATAAGGTTGTATTTCCTGCCCATGCCAGGACTAGACAGGAGGGGAGTCAACCAGGATCCTGTGGAGAACCTGCTTGTTAGGAGCCAGCTTGGGATTTAAAATAGGCCATGAATAATCCAGATTTAGAAAATGACACATTTTTTTTTTTAAATGTTTCTTTATTATTTTTTTTGAGAGAGAGACAGAGTGCGAGCCGGGGAGGGTCAGAGAGAGAGGGAGACACAGATTACAGGCAGGCTCCAGGCTCCGAGCTGTCAGCACAGAGCCTGATGCGGGGCTTGAACCCTTGAACTGTGAGATCATGACCTGAGCTGAAGTCGGACGCTTAACCGACTGAGCCACCCAGGTGCCCCAACACATTTCTTATACTATTCCCAAAGCAAATTAAAAAACACAACACTACTTGGTCACACTTTCCCCCTCGCCCCACAATTTCAGCTTAAAAATAGATGAGGCATCTTCCTGAACCAGTCTTCACATCTTAGATCATTTCATCGTTTTACCAAGTCAAACTTGGGCCAGAATATGGTTTCAAAACAAATCTAAAGCACAGATTATGAGATTACATAATTGGGAGATTAGTGGTCTTGTGACCACTAGAAACCCTATCTCTATAAAGTCACAAAACTCGAGATAAGGCTGTTTCAAAGAAAGGGTGGAAAAATGCAGCCTGGTGGATGCTGCTAGATAAAAGTCACAGGTAAACTGGGCTACAGCTGGAGAAGGCAGTTACCCTTGAACTGTGCACAGACTGGCGTGGATGGAAGAACATGAGAAGGGTGTGAACAGCAGAAAACAGGTGGGAAGTCTTGGGAAGGCCTCCCCAAAGCAGCCAAAGGCCCTCCCTGCCTTTATGGCTCTTTGCTTGCCCTCCGTCTGCCCCTCCCACACAGTTACTTTAACATCTTTCATCACCTCTGCTGCCTCCATCACGCAAGACCTGACCAGTGTGGACGGGTCAACACCAGCCAGCAGGTGACTGGAAGCCCAGCAGTAGAATGTGAAACCAAAGGTTGTCATGGCCCTCTGTTAACTTTTCCAGGGTTTGCAGGACCCAAGGCTAGACAATCTCCCCAGCCACCGAGACAAGTATCAGATGTGCGAACATCTGCATGCTTACATTTTGCCAAGTACAAAGCTCCAAGCCCCGGGAGACAGGGTCCTACTGTGGTTAACATGTACAGCTATGCGAGACTCCTAGGGTTATTCAATAAATGTTGGTTCTGAACGAAAAGCCAGCCTGCCTGGGACCATACTCTTGGGCTGCTGCCCCCTGTATGTGGATGTTGTTTTCCCCTAAGGAGAGCGCTTCTATCAACATGGCTGAGTTTTGAGTTTCTGGATGGGAATGAGACATCCTGGCGGGTAGGAGAACTCAAAGCCTCCAGTCTGCTTTAGTTTCAATTAAGTTCAGGAACTCCGATCAGGAATGGATCTGGCACTCTCCCTGGCCTGTGCAGTTACACCCAGACTTGGTTAGTCCCAGCAGCCCCTGGGCAGACTCACTGCTGTTTATCTGTTTGTCTAGCACTGGATGTGCTGGTCCCAGTGCCTAATACTTATTAGAGGAAATCTTTGATAGAGGATCATCTTAATCAGAGATAACCCAAACTCCTGACCACAGGATAACCAAGGAAGCTGGATTAATAGTGCTGATATGAACACCTCTGTCCTCAACCTCTTCTAGGAAGCTCTGGGAGCTCCAAGCAGAACTTTTTTTGTCTCTATTGAATACAATTCTTTCTTTTTTTCATTTTGTTTTGTCTTTTCTTTTACACTTATCATAACCTTCCAGTAAGTCATTCAAAATGCTTGGTACACATCTTTAAAGCTGTGAAATAGTCCTTCATATACTCTACTCACTCATGTATTTTTGATATTTGGGCTCTTTCAGTTTTTTATTATGATAACTAATGCTATACTGAATAAATTGTGGCTTACATTTCCAATTTCCTTAGGAAGGGAGGCCCTGGGCCAAAGAGTATGAAGAGTATTGTAAGAATCGTAATACAATCCATATAGGCTTTTAATGCCCCTCCTTACAAACCCACTCGATTCTTAATTTACCTGTAATGACAAAATAGGATGGTGCAGATAATATAAGACAAATTTGTCAACACATTTAACTTCTGGGTGAAGTGACCCGCGGTGAGCTGGCTGGGGGAAGGAAGTCAGTGTGAGAGGAACTCTCTGCATGAAACTGCATATGCAGAAAGATACTCCAGTGTAAACTATCACGTGTTGATCATATCTACTGATTCTTCAAGGTCAAGTTCATGCGCCACCCCTCCCATAAGATTGACAAATGCTTCTTTATAGCCTAAAGCATCTCTTAACTCTCCCTGGGCCCTGATATTGC